AGACTTACTAGCGGCGGTGCTCTCACGTGCGGTGGCTTCTCAGGCGCGAGTCGCGTTTTGATGTTTTGCTCCGGTCAACCTGTAAAGAAATGGTCGGTGATCACAGTGGTATAAAAATTGCATCGAATGGAGACCGGGAAGGGCCTCATCGGAGGCAAAAATAGAGGAAAGCCGCGGTGGCGCCGCTGGATTTCGGCGGGGTTTTCGGCTGATTAGCCGATGGTTTGGCTCTGGTTTGGCCCATAGGCGGATTCGGCATCGAAAAACGAGCCAATGAGAAAATTTACCTTGATTGGCGGTCGAAAAATTCTCCGGTGCGGCGGCGGGTGGCAGCGGGTGGCGGCGGCCAGCTCCTTCGGCGTCTGGTTCTTCTTTTCCGACGAGGCACTGGCGGCTAGGGTTTGTGGTCGGGTGTGGGTGGGGTTATTTATACCCTTTTCCTTTTAATCTCAACCGTCCATCAATATTTAATATGCACCGTCCAATCGCGATTTATTTAGGATTAAATATGGACCGTCCATCGCGATGTGATCTGGGCTATCCGTACGCGTAAGTTCTGGGTCGTCCGTGCGCGACAACAGATCTGGGCCGTCTGATCGCGCGCACGCGGATCGTCCACGTGGCCCGTCCCGTGTCAGCGTTCATTGCCACACGGCGTGTCCTGGTTGGCCGGGGCTGCTGACTAAGCTGCTGACGTGGCTGCTGACGTGGTACAACTTTTCTAAATTATATTTTGACCCCCCGATTTCTGATTTTCTTTTGAAAAACACCCCCACAATCCAAATTTTCACCCATTTTTTCCAAAATCAATTTCAATTAAATCCAAAAAAATAATTTTACCATATTTTATCATTATTATTATTTTTATTTTCATTAAATTAAATTAAATTAAATTGAATTAAAATCTTATAAATTAAATATATAAAAAAATTAAACTAAAATTCAAATATAAAAAATAAAAATAATAATTTGGGTGTTACATTTTTTGTATTTAAATATTTATAAATTATTTTTAATATAAAATTATTTAATATTTAATATAAATATATATAAAAAATATTATTATTTTATAAAAATAAAAATTACGTGTTTGGTGAAAATAATGTTTACAATTTTAATTATAATTTATATATTATAATTTTTGTGTCTAAACATGTTAAAAACATATTTTAATTTTAATTTTTATAAAAGACACTTTAAATTTTATTTATTTAATTGCAAGAATGTATTTAAAATATAAAAGTGAAACTTAAAAGGTTAGCCAAATAGAGTTTAAGCAATGAACCATTCCTATTCACTTCAAAAAAAATTACTAAATTTCAGTATTAGTATAATTACCATATACAAATAGTGTAATTAATAATATTAAATTATAATTATACTATTTTAATTAACTAAAATATTAATTAAAAAGTTATTATACTATTTTAATTACATGTTTAATGAAGATTCAATGTTTCCATTAAAAAGAACATCCACCCCATTAGATGTGGAAGATTACATTATTACTTACTAAAAACTTCATATTATATGTCAAATAAGATTTTATTATTTTAAGAAACCAATCTATATAAATCATGCTTAAATATTTACTATATAAATATATATTAAATAAATTAAATTCACAATTAAATATATAAAACAAGAGATACCGAAATAAATATTATAATTTAACTCAATCGTGTTCATCGAGTTATAGTTCTGCATCTAATAATAATATTTTAATTTTAATATATACACATATTTAAATAAAATTTATATTTTTAAATTTTTTAATCTCAAATTTTCATTTTTAAAATTTTTTTTTTTATTTTACTTAAAAAATTATTTATATTGATACCAATTTAACCGCTTTAAAAATATTTTGATAATATTTTATTTCTATTTTACTCGCCAATAAATTATTTTAATAAATTTTTTTATTAATATTATAAATAATTTATTATGTGACGACCAACAATTTTAACAAAAAATTATAATCGTTAACAACTGTGGATTATAGAATTAGTTAGTGGTTAACGACTGTAATTTTTTGATAGAATTACGGACCGTCACATATTTAATAAAATATAAACATTATTAAAAATGATCAAATATAAACATTATGATAAAATTTTAATAATTATTTATAAATAATAAAATAAACAACATTAAACACATCTTATTAAAAACCCCAATAACTAAAATTCAAGATTAAGTAGGTAAAATTTTATTCTAAGAACATTTATTACACTAATCAACAAAGTAGGAACCAAGTTTTAATAGCTTATTATTATGGTTTCTTAACATATCAACATTAAATATATGTTTGTCATAAACAAAAAGCTTCACTTATACACCTTATATTAGTTAGAAAGTAGCTACTAGGCCGTGCTTACTTGATTTGCCTTTGCCATTAAGAAATATAAGCCAAAAGCTCCTTAATTTTTAAGAATTAGCTTATAAAAAAAAAATATTTTAAAAAAATTATATAACAAGAAATATATGATTAAATATATTTTCCGAAATTATGTAATAAAAAATAAATTAAAAGCGACTTATTGTCATTAGAGTGTTAAAAAAGCGCTTTTGAGATAGAGAGGCTATCACGTCGGGTCCGTCAATCTCGATGCGCCACGTGGCGGAAGGAGAAGACGTGGATCCCACGCTGACGTGGTACGAGGATCAGTGTGAATGGGAACGGGAAAAAAAAAATATTTTAAAAAATATTTAGAGAGAGAAAGACTTGGGTGTAAGTAAGGAGAGGGAGAGAGAAAGAGGAAGGAAAAGATATAGAGCGAGAAACAAGGCGCGGAGAAAGAAGAGAAGGAAGACGAAAGAAGAGAGAGAGAGAGAGAGGGAGGGAGAGAGAGAGAGAGAGAGGGGTTTTATCGTTGTGGTTGTGTTTGCCGATAATCATCTTGGCCGTTTTTCGTAATCGAAATCGCGTTTCGTTAGCTCGCCTGCATTTTAGGGCTAATATATATACACACATATATGTAATATATGTTTGTACTGCTTTTTATTTGAAAATAAGTATAGAAACTGGGAATATATATATATATATATATATATATATATATATTTTAAAGCATGACTCAGGAAGAAAATAAGAGCAGCTAAACGCGGATCAATTGATTGCAGATCTTTCTTGCATCCTAACACCGATCTTGAATCCAAGGCATTTTCAGCTCTATTTATTTATCTGATCGAAATTATTGCATTTTCTTGAGCGAAGTGTTTTCCTTCTTGTATAATTTTGTTTGGTGGATGAGATTTAGGGATTGTTTGGATACAGGGATATCCGGGGGTTGAGCTTTTGGATGAGATCCTTGTAGAACCAACGGATTGTAGGAGGCTCGGATCTGTAACCGGGTCGCCGGTCGGGTCAATCATCGCCGGATGAATGTTTCAGGGATCGAGAGGCAAAACGATGAAATGGGTATCATTGCTTAAGGAAATAAAGGAAAAGGTTGGTCTCGCTCAATCCCCTAACCCAACTGCCACTGCAGCCACTGCTGCGTCTTCTTCATCGTCTTCCCCGTCTTCCTTATATGCTCCCGCGAATTTTCAAGACTTCGTTTCATCTCCTTCAAGGTCTTCTTCTTTTCTTCCTCGCGTTCGTAATTTTTTTTTAAAATCTTGATTTATCTATTGTATAATTTTTGTCAACAGTTTATTAATTTGCGGTGAACTGGTGCATTGTCTGGTACTACATTCTCTTTTGTTATTGTCATTTCTTTTGGGATTGATGTGTCAGTTGACTGTAGTTGACATTTATCTACAATGAGCTTCAGAGTATGAGTTTAGATTTGTTTGGTCTTCATAGTGCATTTAGGCGAATTTGGGTAATCGGAACATAGCTTTGGTCGTTAAAGAGTTTTGTTTTTCGTTTTTAAATTATGTTAGACTACTTAATGATGTTTTTTAGCTGCATAGTAAACAGCTTTGCCATGTTAAAAAGTAGTGCTTAATAGTTTTGTGCTCATGCTTGAGAAAATATGTGGAGGTCCCCATTGTTCATTATGTTCACCAACAATAAATTATAGCCTGGTAATTTTGTACTGAAACTAAGGATATTCGGACTTTAGAACTGTAGCTCTGGTGGTGTTAATTAGGAATGCTGTGGTCTGATTCATTGAAGATATCCAGCGGTAGTTTCTTATATTTCGTGTATCTCAGTTCTGAAAAAGGCAATTGTGGAAAGAGTAAGTTTACTTCCACTGGATATTGGATTTTGATGAAGTCTTGGATAATATGCCATTGTATCTATCTTTTTCATAGAACAAGACATTAATAAAAAACTTGGGGATAGGGGGGTGGGATATGAACTTCAAGGTGCCTTTTGATGTAGGAAGCAACTTGTGCCTTTATAGTGGTTAATTGTGGGGAAAATAAACTATAGTGTCAGGGACAGTGCAGCTTATTGACGTTGGTTTGTATTATTTAACCGTAGTTGAGACTATGGTTAACAAGACATGGTCTGAATACTTGCAGTTAGTCAAGTCCAATTTATTTTTACAACTAAATGAATATCTTGGTGGTGGTTAATTACTTCGCTATCCTGTAATTTTTGTTCTCTGACAGGATACCCATTATTTTTAGATCTGGCCCTGTATTGGATTTTTATATCATATCATTCAGGGCTGCCTTGCTCTGTCCCGAAATGGGAGTGAAAAATGTCGAGAGGCTGTTTCCATTTCTTGGTGCATCTGTCTCGAAAAGCTTACCAAATTATGAATGTGAATTTTTGCACTTTTAAAACATTTGTTGAGCAATAAAATCTCTTAATAATAAATGAAATTGCTAATGTTTAATGTTCTACATAACAGTTAAGATTTAATTTAGATGTACATAACCAAATATGCTGCAGATACTTTTTTATTACACAAATATCATTATTGATAATTGAAGTGGTGAGGCTAAAGCCCTATTTTCTCTTCCATGCATAAGTGAACATGACTCCGAGTTAATGTTCTACTAGTAATTTACTATTGCACACCTGTAGAAATTCTTTCTAGGTAATTCATTACTGTAGAAATCCTGTCTACTTAGATTAGATCACTATCAATTTTGTTTGATATTGTTGTAACCATTTTACTATAGAGATTCTTTATCATTTGTTTTCATTAATATTAAATATGGTCATATCTATAAACAAATAAGCGTTGTTGACCATGTCAATGAATTTCGTTCTTCTTTTCTTGTTTAGAAAAACTTATGAAAATAAAAATTGATCATGTGCAATGCACATATAATCTAAGCTAGTTATTTGAAATTGTTGGTGCTTGAATTTGTTTTTGGAGGAATAAGTTATATGATTTCTTTTCTAGTGACACGTGATATTTTCACATAGTTCCTCTTGTGCCTTCTTTTTGGCTTTTCATGTTTATTTACATGTTCTCATCATTTTGCTTCATTTTGAATTAATATTATATAGCTAATGATTTCTTGAAAAATGAAAAAATTTAATGTTTTGGATACTCTTGTTTTGTGCTTAACTTTCACTGCTTGCTCTTTTTTTTTGAAACAATTTTTGCTTCTTGCTCTTTTTTTTTGAAACAATTTTTGCTTCTTGCTCTTATAATATAGTGTGAAGTATTGGCAGGAATAAACAATCATAATTTTATACTTCTCTGATGAATCACCATTTTTGAATTTGCTTTGATTCTATTGTATGAATCTCTTATATGCATGTGAAAGCAGAGATAAACATGAGCTGGAATTGGACTTCAAAAGATTTTGGGAGGAGTTCCGCTCATCCAGCTCCGAAAAGGTTTTGGTTTATCAGTATTTATATTTTTTATAAATTTAATTATTGATCCTATAAACAAATCATGATGGTTATGGTTCTTCGTTGTTTGTGCAGGAGAAAGAAGCGGCCTTAAATTTTACGGTGGATGCTTTTTGTAGATTAGTGAAGCAGCATGCTAATGTAGATCAGTTAGTTACCATGTATGGAAGCTAATCCTCTTTTCTCTAGTTAAATGCATTGTATAGAAGGGTGCTATCATCTCATGATTGTTTTGAAATTAACGCTATTGTACATTTGCTTTGTGACAGAAATGTAGATTAAGTAATCCTATGACACGGCATTAAGGGTTTAGTTCTGCTTAGTTACAACTCATAGTCATATAACCATTTCTGATCCTTTATCGGTTATGTTTTTCAATAGTTGGGTAAATGTGTTGCCTGCCTCAACGTAACTGTTTTCCATTATTTACATGATATTTTTATGGATTGACAAGACATCTTGGTTCTTGACAATCGTTGCATATTGAATGTTTTATTGGTGGAGCAAAAATTCTCGAAATTGCATTTAGATGTGATGAAAATACTGGTTGACCTGTATTCTTTCGTGATGATCTCTCACTACCTCGTCCTTTATGGTTGGTGGTTGGCCTGGATAGCAAGCAGCGGTAACTTCCTGAAAATTTTCTTGTTTTTGTGATTCATTAGTTCCTTCTGCTTAATCATCAAGATTAACAGTACCATCATAGTTTATTTTGTTCCTTATCTTCATTTACTTTCTGGTTTTGGAGAGGGACTGGAATCCTATATGATCGACAGCCACCTTGCTTCTTTGGTGTTGGGTGCATATTTCTATCCTTAGTTAATAATTATTCTAGATAGTATTCTTCAATTTGACTGGAAGTATGTTGGTTGGTTTGTCCATTTCTGGTCTTGTTCTTGCAGGCATTGTCTAAATGTTCTTCTGCAGTTTCTTGATAACATGTACTTTCTCTTGAAGAATTGCAATTGAAAATCATTTCTTGTATTCTTAGAAGTTTCAGTCAGCTTAGACTGTTGATGCTGCTTTTGGTGATGTACTAGCTTGTTGAATCCATCTACCTTTATCCAAACCGTATATGTCTTTTTCTCTAAAAAAAGTGACTTTGCTGTTGCTTCTTGATGCTTTTGAATAGTATGACTTGTTTTCTCAGATTACTATTTTGTTTGGTTTTAGTATGTTTAACAAACTATGACCAAACTCTGGAAACTCTCCTGGATTGCAGGTTAGTAGAAATACATATATTTTCTTTTGTTGTGGGAAGAGCATTTGTAACAGATATTGAAAAGTTAAAGATCAGCAGCAAGATGAGATCTTTGAATGTAGTAAAAGTTTTACGGTTTTTTTCAGAAGTCACAAAGGTTTGTCCATTACACCTAAACTTATGTTTTTTTCTGTTCTTTACTGCTATTCCTCATTATTTGTATCTGAAGCTGTAT